CAGACATCTATGTGAAAGCAAACATCAATTGGCTGCCTCCTGCACATCCCTTACTAGGGATCGAGCCCACAACCCAGGCATGTGCCATGACTGGGAATGAAACTGATGACCTCTTGGTTCATGGTTGTCACTCAACCACTGAGCCACACCAGCTGGGCTATACTGTCTTTTAATGTTACTCTAAATAACCTGCAGATGCTAAAATGTTAGCTCCGTGAAGCAGAGAGATTTTTGTCATTTCTATCTTTTTCTGTTCAATAACATAGTCCAAATACCCAGAATAGTGCTGAGCATGGAGTAGGCCCTTACATATTTATTGAATGAATGAATGAATCAATCAATCAAATAAAATCTCACTGACTCATTCCAACAATATCCGCTTCAAACAGCCTCAAGTTCTCTGTCAGGGGACCTGGCCTCTAGTCCCAATTTTGCCTCCCCGAGATAAAATGTCAGCCCGGTGCTCCATTTTCCTGATCTGTATGGGGGAGCAGTGCACCCCTAGCCTGCTCACCTGACAGGGAGCTCCAAGACAGGCCCGTGGGAGTGCAGACCTGGGGTAGGGCAGGGCCTCTCCAACCTGAATTCGTGCACCTGCCGTGCAGCTCTTGTTCAGAGGCAGGCTCTGACTCAGTGGGGGCCCCATGACTCTGCCTTCGAACAAGCTCCCAGGTGATGCTCTGCTGCTGGTCCTCGGGCCACACTTGGAGTAATCCGAGGTCGGTTCTGAAGCTAAAGTGATGTTTGGTCCCTGGAGGCAGGGGAGTTCTCGCTTCTCCGACGTGGCGAGGAGAGATGGTTTGCGGGCTCACGGGCCCCTCACCTCTGGCTGTGACTGCACTATTCAGTGCAGCTCATTTAGCGACCCTGCTCTCGCCTTATTAGCTCATCCCTGGCGAACGTTAGCCGGGACTCCCTGGCTAAACACCAACCAGAGTTTGGAGCTTCGTGATCCTCTATCCGTATTTGGGCTGCTAACCTGGGGCCTGTTCAGGATTCGTCAGTCCCCTCGATTTCCTTCTTTATTTGTTTTGGGTGTGACTAATCCCACACTGCTCTTGGGCCTGCAGCCTTTTCCTGGGTAAATTGTAAACTGATATGTTTTCCAGGAGACATTTAATCAGCGAGTTATTGCTCGGCCTCAAATGGTTTATTGTGTAAGAGGCACAGGGGATCCGGCCGGGGAAGAGGTTCTGGTGAAGAAACAGCATCCAAGGACAGCGGAAGGAGGCTTCTCCTCCCATCTCTCCCTCCCCCTCCCTCCACCCCCAGTTCCCTGCTCAGCAGTCCCATGACAACAGATGTGCCGATTTCTGCACAACAGAAATATTAGTTCATGCCATTGATTTACGGTTTTTCCCATGCAGTTTGAGAGTGAGCGACAGTTTTAAGGTTTTAGCAGTCAGTGCTGACAATCCCTCTAAAACAGCGGTTCTCAACCTGTGGGTCGCGACCCCTTTGGGGGTCGAACGACCCTTTCACAGGGGTCGCCTAAGACCATCGGAAAACACATATATAATTACATATTGTTTTTGTGATTAATCACTATGCTTTAATTATGTTCAATTTGTAACAATGAAGTTGGGGGTCACCACAACATGAGGAACTGTATTAAAGGGTCGTGGCATTAGGAAGGTTGAGAACCACTGCTCTAGAAGGAGAGGTTGTGTGGCTGCTGAGAGATGGGACAGGGAGGAGGCAGGGCTGGCATCAGAATGTAGGGACGATTTATGATCTCATTTGCTCAGGTTGACATAGTCAGTAATGTTGAAGCCCATGTTATGACCTTTAACCTCATGCTGTTGGTTGCCGGCACATAGACCTAGCAAGTTAAAGTGCTGGAGTGACCAACCATCCCAGTTTACCTAGAACTTACCCAGTTTTAGCATCAAAAGTCTCACATCCCCGTTTTCACATGGAAATGGTCCCCCAGATGGCACCAAGATTTGAATCCAGGACTATCCTACGTATTGCACAGCCCTCCTTTTGCTGTACCAGTGCTCTTCACACTGTAATGCATAACCACTTGGTTAAAAGGTAGAATCCAGCCCTAACCGGTTTGGCTCAGTGGATAGAGCGTCAGCCTGCGGACTGAAGGGTCCCAGGTTTGATTCCGGTCAAGGGCATGTACCTTGGTTGCGGGCACATCCCCAGTGGGGGGTGTGCAGGAGGCAGCTGGTCGATGTTTCTCTCTCACCGATGTTTCTAACTCTCTATCCCTCTCCCTTCCTCTCTGTAAAAAATCAATAAAATATTTTTTTTTAAAAAAGGTAGAGTCTAGTTCAGCAGGTCCAGGGCAGACCCGAGGTTTTGCATTTCTAACAAGCTCTAGGTGATGCCGGTGATGCTGTGGGCCAGGACCACACTGTGAGTAGCAGAGCTCTAAGCATTGCTTCCATGGCAGCCCTGAAGCTCAGCCCCCAAATGGGTTCCCACCATGTGGGGCCCAGTAAGGCCATCAACCCAGGGAGCCCCCCTGAACCATGGGTGATGGTCCTGCCAGTTCATCAGTGGGGACTCCAGGGACTTCAGGTGTAGCCCACCCCCCTCTCCACTGACTCCTCTGACCTCAGACAAGCCCTCTCCCTCCCCTGTGGGAGCCTGGCCCAGCTGCCCTATTCCCCTGTCATTTATTGAGGGGCCTCAATGCCAAGTTTATGTCTCTCAGGTGCAGTCCTGGGCAAGCCCAGACCTGCAGGTCTGTCCCCTTGAGATCTGGGTGAGCAGAGCTGACTGCAGGCAAAACTCAAATTGTTTGTCTTAGGGACCTTGAATTTTGGGGACTGATCCAATTACTATGGTTAGGGATGCTTCTGCCTGCCATCAAATATATGTCTAGTTATAATGTGAAATTCTGGGGTCCTCTGCCATTCCAGCACCATGGTTTGGGACTCCTAGAATAGGAACCATCTAGGTTAATCTTCAAAAGACTAGGGATAATATTGGCACTTTGGTAATGGCCATTGGATCTGTCCAATCCAGGATCTATCTGACATTGTCCCTCTGATCTGGCCCTGCCTGAGTATTCATCAACAAGACTGCAACGTGTCGAACATCAGAAGTTACTCAGGTCTCATATAAAGTGTGAGCTTGTAAGCGGCTTGAGTTCATGCTCTGCCACTTACAAGCTGAGCAACCTTGCACTAATTGCTTTCTGAGCCTCAGTTTTCCTACCTATGAAATGGGTTTATTATTAACCTGTCTCACCGCACCATGGTGAGGATGGAGGAAGATCATAGGAAATACTCAGTAAAGACTACCCTCCCCATTATCAATTACAGTTATTCTCCCCTCGAGAAACTGACCCCAGAAAATAAGTATGTGGTCTTGATGCAGTGGAGACGGCAGGTGGGAGCCACTGGAGTTGCCAGCACAGCCTAGGACAACCTGGTCAAGGACAAACACAGCAGTGCTCTCGTTTCTCTCTGTCCTGCGCTCCTGCATACCTGCTGAGAAACCGTGTTGAATTGTCTCCACAGGTACGGGAAGGATTTGGATGGATGATGTCGCCTGCAAGGGCACAGAAGACACCCTCTTCCGCTGCACCTTCTCCAAGTGGGGGGTGACCAACTGCGGACATGCTGAGGATGCCGGGGTGACATGCATCAGACACTGAAAGTGGACACAGCCAAGATCTGGGCCCTACTGCCCAGCCCCCTTCCTGCATTCCTAGGGTGGGGGCATCGCTTGGGGCACCTCTGACCATACCTCTGCCCTGTCTAGGCCAGCATCCTCCTCCCCCTCATCCCTATCCCAGGACCTCAGTGGCCTGTCATCATTCTCCTCTTGGACATCCGCTCCAAACTGTAACTCTGGGATCTACAGCCTGCATCTTCCTTCCACCAGAGTTCCTGAATGTGGAGTCCCGGTCAACTGGATCGCCATTTTGCCCAGCCTTCTAAGCACCATGCGTCAGGCCTCAATATCCATGTTCCCTTTGGTCTGTTAGTTATAGATGGACGGTGAGACTATGCTGGAGACAAATGTTGCCGTGGAGATGGGAGGGAGATATAACAGATCCTTCGCTCTTCAGATAATTCCCAAACCTCAGGTCAGCCAAGAGTTTTGACATCTTCCTTCCCAGTAAGAGACAATACTAAGTGAGCCATCTTCCCCTCTTTACGCTGCCTCGGCATCCTTTTGTTAGTTTGGGGCAGTGACAGCTGTAGGCATGAGAGGGAAATCAAGTCACCTACAGGAATTGATTTGGATTTGGAAAAGGAGAGTGAAACTCACACTTATTGAGTCATCACCGTGTGTGCTGCATAGTGTCTTGGGTACTAAATGTATTCACTTTGCAGCATTTCTATAAGGCATGTTAGATCAGGTAAGTAAGATTTTACCTGCATACACCTGGCCTAGAAGTCCTAAAGTGGAGAATGACGGAGACCACTGTTCCCACAGGAACCTTAGTGTGTCTTTGCTAGGCTTGAGCAAGAAGCGCAGGTGCCAGACCTGTGTGCCTAGAAGGTTACTTATTCCCAAACCTATGGAGGATGAGTGCAAGGGAAGACATGACTGGCTTCCAGGCCAACCATCCACAGAGAACGAAGGGTGATGTGGAGGGTGACATGGGGGCTGTCGGGGTTAAACTAGACCAACACTCAGTCATCTGGCAGTCAGGGTTCAAGCCAAGTCACCTACATCTCAGAGCGTTTGGAGGTGACGACATTGAACCTTCCAGGCCTCTTGGGGTGTGATCCTGTGGTCAGGAGACCACGTGTCCTGATGGGTAGGAGTAGAAGGAAATGAGGATGCCTTATAACCTCCAGGGGAAGAAAGGGCCCTGGGCTTCTGCAAATCCTCCATCGGCACCCTCTCCTGGTGATAGGGGCACCATATTCTGCTTTTGACACAAGAGGGAGATCAAAGTGGGCCACCTGTGTGTTCCAGGACCAGCGAGGGAGCACAGATCCACCTCATGTGGGGGAGTTCCAGACTCACAGTCAGGCCTGGGACAGATAGCCACCTGTCGTATCAGGCGAGCACCAGCCTGCCTGGGGGAAGGGACCCTCCTGGTGTAGGCCCAGCAAAGCTCCTAGCTGACAACTAAACCAATATGTGCTATTGGTTGTTATTTGCTTACAATATGCTTGTTATTCATTAATGCCCTAATGATCAGAGACTCTCTTTCTGACCAATTGCTATGTTTACATAACTCGCATGTACTCATGCATTTTTTCCAGAGCCAATCTATGTATGCGTATATACACATGGCCCTGTTTACATCATAGCTCAGCACATTGCAAAGTTTGTATTAAAAAGAAAAAAATTACTAAAGGTGGAAAGATGTCACATTGAATGAAATAGATTCCCAAGTTGGTTCTGGCAAAGGAGCCGGTTACCCCACCGATGAAGGCCCGATGACTTTCTTACTTGGTCTTTTCATTTGGGAAAACACAAGTCTTACATCAAATGAAAATGATGGTGATAAGTGTTGAACCTTAAAAAAACACACAAAAGTCTACTAGTTTACATATCTACTTAAGAGGACGTGGAAATCCCCATAGGCCTGTGCTTCAGGGACTGAAGGAAATTAGGCCTGGCCTACAATGCATCAGACCTTTTGTAAGAAAGAATTTCAATAAAGTTAAGAACATGTCGCTGACCAGCTTTGCATCACCTTTTTTCTCATGGAAACCCAGTGAGATGGTGGGAGCATTTCTCAGTGGGGACTGTGGTCGAATGGGCATCTGATGAGACGGTGCCTAATATTTCCTGAAGACAATAAACAACACAGACCCAGGACACGCCCCAAGCCTTGTTTGGTCACCTAGGAAAGGGTCCCACCCAACAGAAGAGTAGTCAAGGCTCGGGTTATAAGAAAATCGCTTTTGTAGTCAATAAAGGGCAAACACGTGTCTATTTCCTCACACCTCCAGAGGTTTTACTTAGAGATGTGCTTCCACCCGGAGTTCTATTTCCGTGTGAGAAGATGTCCAGATTTAGGTACCAGGTCTGTGAAGTCGCTGAGCCCCATCAGCTAATGAACGGCAGGACCTCCCAGGCTCAGGGCCTGAGCAAGTGCATGGAGATGGCCCAGGCCACTGCGTAGTTCTGGCCACGTGCTCAGAGCTGGCACCTCTGCGCATGTCTATCTAATAGCCCCAGGCTTGCTGTGGGCCATGATACTTGGTAACGGAAGTGAACAGAGGAAATTTGATTTCTGGAAACCCACAGAGGAGACATCCTGGTTTTCTCCTTTAAAAAGCCAGGTGATGCCCACCCCAAATCACTGTGTATCCCGTTCTGTAAACAGGCCCCCATGGAGAAGGGCAGCAGCCTCTCTTGTCCTGCCCTCTCTAATGTCTACAAAGTTCTACTGATGCCCTCAGCTCAAATGCCTGTGAGATACAACCTTCAGGGCCTGCATGTGCTATAGTTAAACCACCCACTGTAGTGGGCTTGGTATGTGGAAAGGTGTTAGAGCTTTCTCCACCATCGGCACCCCTTAGTTTCTTCAGCCACATTGTTTTATGACAGTTATTCTAACACTAGAGGCCCAGTGCACGACATTTGTGCACTGAGGGTGGGGGTCCCTCAGCCTGGCCTGCACCCTCTCACAGTCCGGGACCCCTCAGGGGATGTCCGCCTGCCGCATCCTGCCACCGCCGCTGCACTCGCCAGCTGTGAGCCCAGCTTCTGGCTGAGCTGCTCTCCCCCTGTGGGAGCATGCTGACCACCTGTGTTGAGCATCTGCCCCCTGGTGGTCAGTGCATGTCATAGCGACCGGTCGTTCTGCCATTCGGTCAATGTGCATATTAGGATTTTATTATATAGGATTTCTGTAAAACGTCAAATAAGCAAATCACTTGTCTTTATCTTTTTAAACTAGCTCTCCCTTCAACCCTTCATAGAATATCCCTCTCTCATCCCTCTTTTCCTCTCCTTCCCCTCCACCGTTAGCTTTCTGGAGCTGAGATGGGGTTCTGACAAATGGGAGCTTTGTCGTTTACCCCTCTCCACCAGCCCACCCCCAGGCAGAACAGGCTCCGGAGCTTTTACGAAGGCTGTTCAGTTCCCTGGGTCCTTCTCCCACTCCGGCTGCAGGGAACATGAACTGCTCTCAGCTCTGCATCAGCTCTGGCAATGCTGCTTCTTCCGAAGATGCTCTAGCAGCCCCAGGGGGTCCACATAGATCGGTGTTCAGCCGACAACTCAAAGGAACCTCTGCATCTTTCTGGAACTTTCTCTGTGTAGCTCCCTACTTTCAGATCCGATGCCGAACAAATCCCAGCCACCGTGGCCTTCCCTCTCTCCCATCTTTGTCTCCTCCATGGTGAGGTGGCCGGCCTCTGGGCTCCCCTGGCTGTGCTGCGGTTGGTGAGAAACCTGGCCTCACCTCCCTCGTTGCCTTTGCTCAAGGATCACAGTCTGTGCTACTGATTTCTTGCCACTCTCTTCTGGCCTGCATGGTTTCTGTTGAGAAATCAGCTGACAGTCGTATGGGTACTCCCTTATAGGTAACTGACTTTTTTTCTCTTGCTGCTTTTAAGATTCTCTCTTTGTCTTTTGCTCTTGGCATTTTAATTATGATGTGTCTTGGTGTGGTCCTCTTTGGATTCCTTTTGTTTGGGGTTCTCTGCGCTTCCTGGACTTGGAAGTCTATTTCTTTCACCAGGTAGGGGAAGTTTTCTGTCATTATTTCTTCAAATAGGTTTTCAATATCTTGCCCTCTCTCTTCTTCTGGTACCCCTATAATTCTGATGTTGGTACGCTTGAAGTTGTCCCAGAGGCTCCTTACACTATCTTCGTATTTTTGGATTCTTTTTTCATTTTGCTTTTCCGGTTGGGTGTTTTTTGCTTCTTCGTATTTCAAATCTTTGACTTGATTCTTGCGATCCTCTGGTCTGCTGTTGGGAGTCTGTATAATATTCTTTATTTCAGTCCGTGTATGCTTAATTTCTAGTTGGTCCTTTATCACAACATCGAGGGTCTCACTAGATTTCTTAAGGATCTCAATACATTTATCGGCGGTTTCCATAAAATTCTTGAAAAATCTTAGAACCGTGGTTTTGAACTCTATATCCAGTCGTTTGCTGTCCTCCATTTCTGTCATTTGTGACCTGTTTCTTTGTCTTCGCATTTTGTCTGCTTCCCTGTGTTGGTAGAGTGGTTTTGTGTGCTAGGTGTCCTACAGGGCCCAGTGGCTCAGCCTCCCCAGTTACCTGAGGTGGACACTCTTGGTGCACCCCCTTGTGGGCTTTGTGCACAGTCTTGTTGTAGTTATGCCTTGATTGTTTTAGGTGTCACTGGGAGGAATTGACCTCCAGGCCAATTGGCAGTGAGAATCAGCTGTGTCTGCAGTGGGAGAACTTCTGTGCTGAAGACACCCTTCTGGGGCAAGACTTGCTTCAGTGGGGCTTTGGTGCTCACTGAGTCTGCCCCCTGAGTGTGTCCCTTATGGATCTGAGGAGTTGTAATTGGATGGTCCCACTCTGACCACTGGGTACACTGGCTCTTGGATCTAAGGAGGTGCTAATCTAGCCTCTGCCTGAGGCTACCCAGCAGAAGCCAGCTGTAAAGCAATGCAAGTTGCCCTGGGGCCTTGGGGCAGCTGCAGTTTGTTAAGTTATTTTCAGATTACAAAGGGCCGGGCCTTTCATATGCAAAGGCCTCCTTGCACGGCTTGGGTGGGGCAGGTCCCAGGGGATCAACAGGGCAGGTGGAGCGAGCAGTATGGCTGCTCTCAGTCCTGCCTTCAGAGGCTCCGGCAATCGCTGCGAGTGCCTCCGAGAGAAAGCTGCCCTCGAGTTCCGACAGATGCCAGACAGTCCCGTTTCTCCCATATGAGTCTGGGTCCCTAGAAACTCGCCTGGAACTGGAGCTCAGAGCCTGAGACTCCCTCCCGATTGAAAAAGACAATCGTGTCCCCAGCCGCCAGCCCTCTCCGCATGCACCTTCGCACCTTTGTATTTTACTTCTGCACCGCACCTCCTCTGAGTCTCAGTATGCTTTTCTCTTTCCTTGTAGTTGTAGAATTTCCACTCAGCCAGCCTTCCTGTGGTTCTGGATGATGTCCATTATGTCTTTTAGTTGTATTTTTGAAGTGGTTGTGCGAGGCAGCAATCTCCAGTGTTTACCTATGCCGCCATCTTCGTTTCTCCGTCTTTATCTTTTTAAACTAGCTCTCCCTTCAACCCTTCATAGAATACCCATCTCTCGTCCCTCTTTTCCTCTCCTTCTCCTCCACCATTAGCTTTCTGGAGCTGAGATGGGGTTCTGACAAATGGGAGCTTTGTCGTTTACCCCTCTCCACCAGCCCACCCCCAGGCAGAACAGGCTCCGGAGCTTTTACGAAGGCTGTTCAGTTCCCTGGGTCCTTCTCCCACTCCGGCTGCAGGGAACATGAACTGCTCTCAGCTCTGCATCAGCTCTGTAATGCTGCTTCCTCCGAAGATGCTCTAGTAGCCCCAGGGGGTCCACACAGATTGGTGTTCAGCCGACAACTCAAGGGAACCTCTGCATCTTTCTGGAACTTCCTCTGTGTAGCTCCCTACTTTCAGATCCAATGCCGAACAAATCCCAGCCACCTTGGCCTTCCCTCTCTCCAATCTTTGTCTCCTCCGTGGTGAGGTGGCCGGCCTCTGGGCTCCCCTGGCTGTGCTGCGGTTGGTGAGAAACCTGGCCTCACCTCCCTCGTTGCCTTTGCTCAAGGATCACAGTCTTGTGCTACTGTTGCCGAATGTCTGAAATTACGTTTGAAGTATGTTGGACAATTATCTGGTTGTGACAGAGGAAGGATGCTTCTGGGACGTGCTCTCTCATGGCCTGAAGCAAAGTTCCTGCCGTGGGTATTTTCCGGTCACAGAATCCTAGGAGAGGAGTCTTCGTGGCTCAAGCACAGCCCCGCGGGAGGCTGGGCCACAGGCGACATGGAAAGAGCATCTTCTTGTGGGGCGGGGGCTGCCCTTCACATTCTCCCACGGCCCCCACCTACTCAGACACCTCGCAAAGGAGCTTCTTGCTTGTTTCTCCTAGTACCAGCCGAGTTAACCTGAGGGTGAGCAACAAGGAAGTCATATCAGAAACACACAAACAGCTTTAAAACAAACAAGTCTCTGAGACAGAAATCTTACACCTTCGATCGCTCCTTGACTTGTGGTCCCGAGCCGGTGAGCATGTCCCGGCTCCTGGCCTGGCCCCGTTCCCCGGCAGCCCCCCCGCCCACGTCCACACCACAGGCGTTTTCTCATTTCCCACCGTGTGTCCTCACGTAGAAAAGTGTGCTGGTCTGCCTTCTGCCAGAGCTCTAGTCACTGGGCACACGTCTGGGTCTGAGGACAGACTTCATGCTTCTGCGATGGACTGTTCAGGGCAGTTTTACTGGACACAGTGACTCGCCTTTCTCTCCCTGTAGAAACCCAGGCCCCGGCCCCACAGGGGAATGGTTTTGACAAAATTCGTGCCCTTCTTTCACTTACCTGGTCATTCAATAAGTATTATTGAGGGTCTGTATGTAAGGCCCCTACTTGGTACCGGAGATGCAGTGGTGGACCAGCCTGACCGGGTCCCTGCCCTCATGGAGCTTACATTCTAGCTCTTATCCTTTTCACGGGCTTTCAGTATAAACACAAGAACAAAAATACACAACAACAAGAATGATAT